CTTATCCTGTTGATCTCCAAACAATTAGCAGTAGAACATGCTTTCCGTTCCTCACCAAACAATACCGATTTTGTACATGTACAGGTCTGGTTGCTGGTTTTCTTCCAATCATGGTAGTATACACGGTCCGTGTTAGCATAAGAATACATCTATTTTACTGCCTCTCACGATGCAAGGATTGAGCACGCGTAACGCAACGGTTAGAGATGCTTTACATACACACGTTGTCTTTAGTTCGATCCCACGTCCTGCCTCACCAAGCCCCATCCACCCTCCAGGGTACAAAAATTGTACCAGACTTATCTGGGAAAGTAGTAGCACTGGTTTCATACATTGGCAGACCTCCTCAAGCCATTGAAAGGCCAGATATACATTCAATCCTCTCTACGATACGTAACGAAGTCGAGCGCACGGCGATCCCTCAGAAAATGACCAACACCCAACGCTCTATCCATTTTCCTTATCCTTTATCACAATAAAGAGCAAGACTGATCTACGTTCTGTTCCTTTCGCTCAGTTCATGCACGATCTACTAGCATTTTTGATGGGACTTATACCATTTGCTTGAGGCATTGGTGCGGAACACTCAGTCGTACTCCTTAATCAAAGAAGTGTACTGTGAGGTGATCGCTTCTCGAAGAAGACAAAGTGTCCTTCTTCATCACAATCCGCACTATATATTTAAATGACCTTCCTGGAATATTTTCGTTCTAAATTTTTTCATTCTACTTTACATGACTTGTCATCACATCTACTATGCGGATTCCAGCACTTGTATTCGATTGATTTTTCTCAAATTAATCGTCCACAATGGTCTTCGAACATTTCGCGTTTTGTTTCGACTACTGCTTGAGGATTTTCTCTTCTTTATGAATGCTGTAAAATAGTGGTCGAATCGATTAGCAGAGCTAAGGCGTTCCTTCATGAATTTCAGGAGGGTGTAGGGGAAAGGTTCGAACCAGAATCTTGCTTCCTGATGAGCTGCAACACTAACAACTGTGCTATCGGCCACCGGCGTTCTACACTCTTAGACAACGAAGAAAATTGATGGAGTAGTAAATTTAAGGCTTTGGTGTAAGGGAGTGAATGCGGAGACACCACTGCAACGGCTTCGCAAGACGAGATACGGGACAAAAGAAGGCGAAAAAAAGAACCATCCTTCAGCTCCAGAAAATTAGAACTCCACTTTTCGAGGGAGAGCTAAACTTTTATTTTGTTAGCAAGAACTTATGGATCCTGCTAGTTTTCTTTTCAATTAATAAGGGCCACTAAGAACTATGATATACAACAACCGCCCTGTGTAAAAGAGCATCCCCTGGTTGGTGAGCATGGCTCATTTGAGAGAGATGTTCCGCTGAGGAAGATTGAGCTCCATGCGCGACGAAGATGCCACCTCGAGAACACGAAGAACTGTGGTTCATCGAATCGGATCTGATGAAAACGAAACCGCCGAAACATTAGCCGAAGTGAAGATATTTAATAACCTCGTGTAATCTCAACTTAATGTGGAGAAAATCAATTCTTTTCACCCACGTGTGCATGGGAAACAAAGCATTCCCTCATGAATATCACAAATAAGCTTCAATGGAAGGCTGAACCGTCGTACTCCGAAATAGCCAAGATTTTTGTTAAACAAGAGATAAATTTCAGCCCTACAGAGATTGGTACACAGGACCCGACGCCTAGTGTCTGTCAGCCTCTGCAGTAAGAAAACTAAAGTGCATGAGGCGTTTTGAGGTTGACAAACTTATTAAACAAGGACTGCCTGTGGGTCCAGAGGTGTTTTCAATTTTTCTAAAACGCTATTTTAGTTTGTCCAAAACATAGTCTTCCGTTGTACTAAGAAAAGCTGTTGGACTTCTTACCGCTCCTGGTGTGCAGATGGAGCTATCATTGAGAGGTTTTACTCCAGCCTCTTTCATTCGATAAACTCTTTACTACATTACAGCAAGACAACCAGCAACAAGCACCTGCCTCAGATTCTTTTACTAAGAGTATAACATGCAAACTGGATAAACGATGGTATTCAAGCAGAACCAAATAGGGCAACCCTCTGACTATGTGGTCTTAAATGCTCCGCAATATTACAACGTCTTTGTGCTCCTGCTACAGAGCTTAGATAGAACCTACGTATTTTGACGTTTAGATGCAATTTCTTAACACGTCTTGAGTGCCTTAGCACCTCTACACTTCTCGTTGACCTGCAATTCCAGAAGGTGGTCAGTCTCGCGAGCGGCTTGGACGGCTGCTTGATAACGCTTCACCTAAGTTGCTTACCGAAATAATGAATACTAGTACCCCGCAGTTCTCATTGAAATCTAGCGATAGGAGGAGAGTTGTACGCATCACATCCAAGCAACCCATTTCATATAAATACACAAAGCTTACTACTTGTCACCAGCAACTAGCTAGCTATGAAAAAGTCTTTGTCTTGAAAAAAGTCTTGAAAAAAAACATACGGAAAAGTTATGATCTGTCATCTTCAGACGAATGCAGCCTATACTAAGCTGTTGCCATACTACACATGTTATTGAACGACCACGATTCTGCTGACACTTCCACCCAACTTCCACATCTCCGCTTCCAACAATCAGAAACCAGAATTTCTTATTACCTTTATGCTGCCCACTTTCGTCTTGAAGTGAGCGCAATAAAATCATTGAAATAGGAAGAAAATGATACCCTGTAGATGGAGGATACCTTCTCCATTCTTCGTTTCACCTCATAGGTGGCTTATGGGATAAGGCTCCTTTTGTGGGAATCAATGAAGTCGCTTCGAAATTACAGAGGAAAATTCTTAAAGACAGGAACAAGTGCCTGTCGCTGAAAAGTAGGGCTCTCCACTCCTAGTGCTGCAAGAAGAAGCGGAACATTTTACTATCACGACTGCAAAGGAGAATGGCCAGTTGTCCTGCCCAATGCCAATGCAATACCCTCAACTCGACAATACTACATTAGTAGTCCTTCGCAAGAATTGTCTCCTCTTACTGACATTTCTGTTCGGTTTTCTAAGTCTGGGTCGAAGTCGACTCTAGAAATTGATCACAAAGCAGACATTTGGCTGACGACAGTTTAATCAAGTGAAGTAATAAAAGTATTTTACTTTTTATTTTCTGCCTACTACAACTTTCAACAACTGTGACTTAAATTACAGCGTCAGCTTAACTGGGTTCAATGCCAATGTGGCTTCCCAGACCAATCCCGTTGATGGATGTTTGCTAATGGCACTGATCGATAGAACTAACTGAGAGACAGGCGGAACGAAGAACCAGCATGGTGTAGTGGTGAACGCGTTAGTCCCGGAAAGAGTAATACCGCGTTCATTCCCCACCGCAGACACCTGCCGTCCGGAGTTTTGCAAATATCTCATCATCGTTGTGGTTGTATTTCGAATAAAATCTTTCTAGACAACGAATTCCTCGATGTGACGAACTGCGTTGCAATACAATGCAGTTTAACACTTGAAGATAAAAGATAGTTTTCGGGAGGGAGAAGGAACTATTCTTTAAGTCAGTAAAATGGTTCTGTTTCATACGAAATCGAAACGGATGAATCCCGGAACCGACTTTCTCTTGAGCTCAACATTAATCAGTAATTCATTGGATTCCTGATAAGCAGACAAGAGGTTGCTATTGCAGCAGTTATTCATCTACAACAGCTTACATTTTGGCAGTTTCACCTTCTTCAGGACCTGGAAGAGCCACACTGACACGTTATCCACTTAGCCAAACACTTTCGTAACCTTGATGGACAAGACTTAATACATAAATATTTAATCGCATATGAACAGCTTCTCTTAAAAACAGTGATCTCTACTTACTTGGATGCTTGGATAGCCCATCTCCACTGGTTGTGCAGGTCCCAGCATAATTTCCATTGTTCCGGAGCTTTGCTGCTTTAGGCCATTGCTGTTGTCTGATGTCCCGAGGTCAGCCAGGCCAACGGCTGCTCCAGACAGTGATCTTTATGAACAACAAAACAATCAGATGAACATCCCACTCGATCGATGACGAAGACATCGCATAGACGGGACGAACGACTGTGCATCATAGACTTGGATCATCTGAAGATGTCTGAACATTGTAGGAAGACGAATACGTCGAAACCTTGGCCACATAAAGTAATATATCACCTCATGCTAGCTTAATAACCGAAGGTATTAATTATTAATACCGAGGTTAAATCTCGGTCAGTTTAAAAAAGGAAAAAAACGGTGAGTGTTTGAGAAAAGCTATTCAATATGTGAATAAACATTTATATAATAGATCTTATCTGCCGAAGAAATGGATAAAATTCCCTGGAAAATGTTCGTCACAAATTAAATTAAATTAAAAAATAATTTTTAGTGAAGAAATTTCGTGCTCCAATGTTAAACTATCGACATCAGAATGATGACGTTTGAACCCTTTAAAAATGGACGTTCATGCTCTTTAGTAATCTGCGGTTACTTGGTGTGATCTTATTGGTACATTTACCGGATCATCTTTACCTTTTCCTAGAGCTTAAGCGATTTACAGTACGGTATAGTATGACGCTAGTATCCTTAAACCTATTATTCTGCTTCTTTTTACGAGTTCTGCCTCACCAAGCAGCCGACTTTAACGTATTCGATTATTTCACAGTATAAATATCCCATCTCACATCTTCCTTTGCTTTCTGTTATTTTGTCTGTTGCGACGTGCGATTGGGCATACCGTAGGTATGTAACCACTACGAGGTTGAGGCATTTACAAAACTTGGACCCCAAGCCAGGTCGAACCCACGATTACCTTTTCCGTTGCTCACGTGTTATACACTACACCACTGAGGCCCTTGCTTTGGCTTTCTCTCAGCTAGTTTTCTATCTAACACTGCCATCAGCAATCACCCGTCAGCGGTACTGATCTGGAGAACACAAATCGGCTTTGAACCCAGTTAAACTGAGCTCGTAGTCGAAATCGCAATGTTAGTCTTCTATTTGCTTCCTGCTATATTCTTTAACTTAGATATTTAGGTTTACGATGGGTGACCACTACGGTTTTTCGCTGACCACTTTCAGGTTGGATGATGTGGTTGTTTCGTGTTTTTGATTCGCTCACCTATAATCGAAATATTTAAGCCCATCAGGTAAATTAATGCAGATTGAATATGCTCTCAATGCAGTGAAAAACGGGCAGCCTTCGGTAGGATTGAGAGGTTAGATGTGATTTGTTCATTCACGTCCATGGTTTCTTTTAACTTCAAGCACAATTTTCCAGCGAAGGATGGTGTGGTCTTGTCGACCGAAAACATCGCGTCGGTCTTGTTCGAAGACCAGCCAAAAATTGAAAAGATTAGTCAACATATTGGATGTGTTTACAGGTACTAATGACGTACTTGTAACAGTTCCCAGAATAAGTTTTTTATTAACCTCGGCATTGGATTATAAATTCAACGTTTTCCTTCTCAGCAATTGCGAAGTTGTTATACAGCGCACGTTTGCTTCCGTACAAAACACATACACTACAACCGTAGCTGACGTTCCGACAGTATCGTCTACTTCAACTCCTGGAAGGGTATACTGATACGCAGCTGACTATCCCAAACGCTGCAATAACACATAGAAAGATGGAAATCAGTTGATTAGAGCCGCATATGGTTTATAGCTGTTCTTCCTCAGTGTAAAGCGCGTAAAAAACAGGTTGTTTGAGAAGCTGATGATCATGTGATTACCATATAGATTTTCGTCTTTATGTTTGTGTTATTGAAGCGTTTGACGTAGTAAATTGCGTATTACACCCTTCCAGGCTCTGAAGAAGGCCGTACTGTGTGAACGTCGTCTACTATTGCGTTGTGTGTGTTTTTTGTATGGAAGTAAACGTGTTCTGTATAAAAACCTCTAGATTGCTGAGAAAGAAAACGACGAACGTACTTGTAGTTTAGATTTCGGTTTGATTCGTAGTTTTTTTAAATTACATTGAAATTTTCTAGCGGTATGGGACCCGACTTTCGTATTTTGGTCAAGAGAGCTAGAAAAATTGCCATGGAGTATGAAATGATGTATGGTGAAGAGATTCCTACTACGCAACTTGTTACGCAAATCGCAGCTGTCATGCAGGAGTATACTCAATCTGGGTAAAAAGTATTTCCATGTTACTGTTTTAACTGTTAGAACTTTCATCATTGTTAGATGGAGTTTTGACGTCTCGGCGAATTTCAATGTGGTGTAGAAGAATGTATGAGTATGTACTGCATAATGATTGTAATCAACATGTGTCAGTAGTACGTCTATGATTAGGTTATTCTAATTCTCGAAGTTAATTCAAGAATTGAGAACTAATATATCGTCCAGCAGGGCCTTTCATGGGGCAAGTTATACCAAACGAGTAGCAGATATACCTGGCAGGTGTTTTGCGGTCTGGACGTTTCTTTGTGAGGTCACTCAAGCCTCAAACTCAAAGCAGTATATGCCATCGGCAGTTCATATGAATGTTGTTATAGTGGTGTTCGTCCTTTCGGCGTCTCGCTTCTAATAGCTGGTTGGGACAAAACTCCTGGTCGACCACTTCTTTTCCAAAGTGACCCATCGGTATGACCAAGTTTTTCCTTCTGTGAATGAGTTATTCATTTTTTCATTCGTACTTTATTTTTCAACGTATTACTTGTTTACTTGAATACCTGGACTGACCGCCCTCACAGGCTGTGCGGGTCCAGCATAATTTCCACTTTTTCGGCGTTTTGCTTGCGTTAGCGATTGTGATTTCATGGAGAACCGAGGTTAGCCTAGCCAAAGTTTGCCCCAGGTCGTCACCACCACAAGCATCTCCGCTCTTGTGAATCAGAGGCAGATTTGCCACCAAGCGACTAATTTGATACCAGGACGATGGTTGATCCTGGTATTGGTTTACTCTTTGCTAGGCTTCCAGGTGGAAAAGCCGGACTCTGGGAGACCCTGTGGGAAGGACGAATCCCCCCGCTGTAAATCGCAGTCTGACACCCAGGAACACCTCCCGGCTACGATAACGCAGTAAACCGTTGGGAAGTTTTCAAAATTTTATGCTGTGAATGTAACAAACGGTTTTTTAGGGTGCATATTTCGCATGGAAGGCTACAGCGCTTGGTAAGAATGATGTGAACGCTAAGACTTTTCTTGAGAAGAGATACAGTGAGGCTCTTGAACTGGATGATGGAATTCATACGGCATTGCTCACTCTTAGGGAATCTTTCGATGTGGGCATGACCGAAGATAACGTTGAGGTAGTTTTATTTGCATTGATATTCGTGTTTTCTGTTTCTACTTCCGTTCTGATTAATCGCAGTAGATCACCTTGGGTGTACAAAGTACATTCGTACGTTAGTGGTTTTTTCACGTTTTTAAGAGCATGTCAGGGAAGAATGTGCAGGACTTGTAGGCTACGCGTTGAATGTCTTCCTCTTTGAACTTGGGTAATAAAATCTATGTTAGGGTTCGCAAGAAGTCAGTGTTGAATAATAAGTTCAATTTCTCGTAGACGGAAACTGATTTCCACCTTGCAGGTTGCTGTTTGTAATGCGAAAGGGTTTCAGCGTCTGACAAAACAGCAGGTGAAAGATCACTTAGGAGCTCTTTAGCTGTGAAATGTAATTTTTTTTACTTATTTTGTTAAGATCTTTCACATGTATATGTACTGGCTTAGTTTTTTATAGGTTCATTGTTCTATTGCATTGTTGCTTTTTATTTGAATCTGTTCCTCGTCTCGTTTTCGAGAACTTTTCACGCGGTGTCTTTTGTATAAGAATTTAAATAAATATTGACATATAGTTGCCCTATACATCTGTGATATGGCACAATCCGAATGAATACTTTGTGTTTTTTATTCATCAGTAATGCAGCTCATGCATGGGTCTTTGAGAGACATTAACCTTTCAGCAGGTCTGTTCTATCTTCTTTGCGCGGCCGAAATGTCGGGGAAACCAAGGTTTATTTCCTACTCATTGTTTGTTGAGTTTAGTGAATCCTCTGGAAGAATTTTATTTGGAATCATTTTAATGCAGGTAGAACACACATCTACAGAGAAACCTGTACGTCAGCGTATTCAAACATAGTAGATATTGTCGTCACTTTTTCATTTACTGTTTATTCTTTTTCTTTAATGGCGGGGTATTATGTGAAATATAACCATGATGATGCCGAGATATTTGCAAAAGTACGGATCAGTGGTGTCTGCAATGAGCTGAACACGCTATTATCCTTTCAGTGGCTAACGCGTTCACCACCACACTATGCGTGTCCTTCGTCTCGCCTTTCTCTCCGTTGACGAGTTTCGCTGATATCACCTGTGGGTCAATATCACTGCTATAGGAAAGGCGGAACGAAGGGCTTGCACGGTGTTGTGGTGAATGCGTTGGCCCCCGGAGAGGGTAATAGCGTGTTCGGCCTCACCGTTGACACCAGCGCTCCGGAGTTCTGTAAATGTCTCAACATCGTTATGGGTATAATAGATACTGTCTATATTCCTCACTCGCTTTTTATTACTTTGTTGTAGGTATGACTGGTTCCAGACCGACTCTTTTGTGACCATTACGATTTTGAAGAAAGGAGTCTCCCTAAGTGATTGCCGGTACCGATTCTATGGTCTATATTCTTTTATTTGCCTTTAAACATACTACTCGCTTCCATTTTATTTATTTTAAAGTTTAGAGTAGCATTCAATAGCAACGAGGTCAAAGTTTTCAATGGTGATGACGTGATTTTTGAAACTACGCTAGCGAGATCAGTAGATGAGAAGAATTTCACTGTTACATGCACACCATCAAAGGTAAGTTTCGGCCATCTTTGAGAATTATGTGATTTATTACGTTGTGTTCCGAATGTCCCACAATAGCTGATTGATAGACTTTAGATGACTTTATTAGAACGGTGCTGGTTCGGTGCTAAAGGATGTGATGACCACAAAAGGCCGAGTGTTAGCGTCCTGAGATCATGTTCTCTTCACGCGATGCCTAAAATAAAGCGATAACGCTGATTCTGCGGTACCGAACTCAGCTTGCGCATTCATTCGTCGTTCACAACACTTTCAGTTTTAACTTTTAAGTAGGTCTGAATGTATACGTTACGTTTTTACTGGGTCACCGTTTAGAATAAGTGTGTGTTCAGCTGTTTTAGGAGACATGAATTCGTGTTTTATCTACTCATTCAACCCTAGGGGCGCGTGTAGCACAGTGGTCGAAGCGTCCTGCAATACACCTGGGATCTATCCCCGCTCCACAGGCCCATTAAGCCTACTATCCCTCCGGGATCAGCAGATTGGTACTAGACTTGTCTGGAATGGTAGCAGCATTGGCTCGACACATTGGAAGGCCACCGCGAGTCATTGTAAAGTCCAGATATGCATTCAGTCACCTTCAACGTTACTAAACGAGGTCGGATGCATGGCGCACCTCTCTGGGATTGATCACCTTCCATAACTTTATCTTTTCTTATTTTTCCTTTATTTTTTTGTGTTTAAACACTATTTTTCTCTGATTTTGTTGCGAAACTTTGATTAAACAGATTATTCTCGTGTAGTTTCCTCTCTTGTGAAAAATGTCAGGTTGAAGTTCGAATGCCGAAGAAGTCTGCGGGTCATTGGCCAACTTTAAGTGCTACTTCTACTGCTCCCGTTTCTAGTGAACCAAATCCAACAAAAAACTGGGAAGCTATAGAAAGGGTGAGTCTTAGTTCAGTTGTATCTGATTTAAGCCAGTTGTGCTGACAAATGCCAATGATTTTTGTTCCAATACGTCTTTCATTAATTTGTGATTGTTCTCTATTTCAGTCGGCTGTTGAGGAGGAAGAAAAAGAAGAGCTTGAAGGTGATGCAGCAGTGAATCGAATGTTCCGGAAACTCTACAGCGAGGCTTCGGATGATGTTAAAAAGGCCATGATTAAGAGCTACCAGTAAGTGGGAGTGAGCGTTATAAGTTTAGTGAATGTCGATATTTTGAAGATTTTGATCTTAAAGGGAGTCCGGTGGCACTGTTTTGTCAACGAATTGGGCAGAGATTAGTAAGAAGCGAACGGAAGTTAGACCACCAGATTGCATGGAGTACAAACGTTTTGAACAGTAGCGGTAACTAATAATACATTAAAAATTCTTCATATTTTATCAGAAGACGTCACGTTAGTTGTGCTGTAGGACTGCGTCTCCTCTTCTAATGGAACCCTAGCTTCAGTAACTTTTATGAAAACAACACGTTGCTCATATTTTGGTTTTAATTTCTTGAGTTGTTTGTTATTTTACCGATTTTCATGTATAAAGTTGATTATACTTGTATTGATTGGTCGACTTTCCGTATTGCCTTATGCCGAAGGACAAATGTTCCATTTTCTTTTTAAAACTGATCATGGTTCATCCTTGGAAGTCTCGTTTTACCTGAATATGCCATTCTAACAAGCGCACAATTTCATTGAAAATGAAAGTGCTACAGTGTCTTTGAAGTCTACGTATTCCTCAGCGTTTTTTTTTCTTTTGAAACGAGGCAACAGTTCTTCCAGGGAAAAACTCCTGGGGTTTCATTTTCCTGGCTTAACACCTGCTCCTTTTTGTGTAAACTGGTGATCAATAAAAGGATAATTGGTGAGGTCTCAGCGGTCACCAAAACCGTATTTGGCATGTTGACCTCTGCGACCATTGATTTCTTTCTCTACTAAAGATATGTACTTTCCATGAACAATATTCAGAGTTTGTACTTCCAAGAAAAGTGATAACAATGATTCTGAGAGTTGTAAAACTCCTGGCCTCAGATATCGGAGGCGGGGATCGAACTCGCTATCACTCTTTCAAAAGGGTAACGCGTTTATCCCCGTTGTGAGTGCTTCATTTCGCTTTTCTGTCAACCATGTTTTAAACCGTAGGTGCTATCAGCAATATCTCATCAACGGAATTGATCTGGACAGCACAAATCCGCATTGAGTTCAGTTAAGCTGAAGCAGTAGCGTAAATCACAATGTATTCACATATTATTTACTGCCTGTTCCTTTTCATGGCAGGGTATGATCATTCTTCTGGACATGGAATTGCTTATAGCACCTATAGGTTAAGATACGGCTGAGAGGAAGGCGAAACGAGGGACCCACATGGTGTGATGGTGAACGCGCTAGTCCCCTGAGAGGATGGTGACGTATTCGATCCCAACCGTAGACACCTGCGGGTCCAGAGTTTTGGAAATACCTCAACAGCATTGTAGTTACATTTCACACCATATTCTGCCATGAAAAAGAATAGGCAATGAATAGAAAGTGGATACATTGAGAGTAGTCTTTTCTAGAGCGATTGCTAACCTGTTCAACATGTTTTACGGCGTATTTTTAATCGGTGTGTTTCATGTTGCCTTATGACAACCTGGACACCGTCTCTATATTCTCGGCTTGAGCCAACCCGCTTTCATAAACGATTTGGTACGCCAACACCGTAGTACTGTTGTTCCCAGCGTCACCTAAGTAGTTGTCCATCTTGGGATCGTTCAAGATGGAGTTTCCAGCACGTCTTCATCACGTCTTCTGTGCGCTCGTGTTCGTGAAATGTCGAAAATGACTGCCTGGTGCACAGTATACATATTCCTGTTCATTTGAGATGCATTTTACTACTCTGATGTGTTGTGCCTTCAGGTGTTATTCCGTTCTTAAATTCTAGCGCTGAACCTGCTTGGGATGCACGTGTGAATCAAATAGGTCCTTGGTGAATCAACGAGACACAATACCTCGTATCAGGACATCCATTCATCCGGTAGCACCCATACATTGACTGCATCCTGATCCAGCCACACAGGTTACAGGTGTACCCGATTTCAACACCTAGTTCTAATAACTTGGTCTTGTGAGATGTCTTAGCAGAGCATTACCCTCCTAAATGGCTTGAGGGTGAAAACTAGCTGAGAGACAGGCGAAACGAAGGACCCGCATGGTGTGGTGGTGAACGCGTTACTCCCCGGAAAGGACAGTAACGCATTCGTTCTCCACCGCAGACACCTGCGCTCCGGAAATTTGAAATATCTCAACATCATTAAAGTTATATTTCGAAATATATACTTGCCGTTAAAAAGAGTAGGCAGTAAATAATAAGTTAAATTGTGATAAATGTCAACTACAAATAATCTAACTTCCTAAGTTCTCGCCGCAGCAGTAGTTAGTTGGTCCAGTTCAAGCTGGTCGCAATCGAAAATTTGGTAGGTTTGGGACACTACTGAGGGCGCATGTGAGCGCAGTGGTTGGAGGTGCCCTGCAACACACACGTGGAATCGATCCCCGCACCTATAGCCCACCAAGGCTTCCATCCCTTCGGGGTCGGCAAATTTGTACCAGACTGGTCTGGGAGGATAGCAGTGCTGGCTCGATATATCGTTAGGCCTCCGCAAGTCACTGTAAAGGCCAGATATGAATTCAATCACCTCCCAACGATGCCGGATGAAGTCGAATACATGGCGCATTCCTCAGGGTTTGATCAATGCCGAGTTTTGTCCTTTATGGGGTCACTGCATTATTCTCATTTGAAACATGTGAAAGCTTCCCATTTCTTTTTCCAGTATTAGGTTGTTCTAAAATTAGTGGCAGACTTCATACCTCTATGAAATTGTAAAAAATGTAGTGGCACATCTTAGTTCAGCATATACTTTGTTAATTCAAATAAAACCCATTACAATGTACATATTCTTGTCTGCAAAACGCAACCTATGCCCGTCGCTTAAAATCCCGGAGTACTGCAAAGTCATCGGACACAGTCTCGGCTTAGGCTTGGTTTCTGAAGCATTTCTTATATAGGAAGTTGTCAAAATATCTGAACAAGTTGTAATTCATAGGCGATAGATCAAGCGAGATATTCCGGCTTGTCCACTTTCTGCAGCGTTAGTTGTGCAACGTGTGGCCGCGCGCTGGGTTATAAAACTTCCTGCCAATTTGTACGGCACACATTTGTTGAGCTTCGTCGACGTTTGAATTTTCTCCAGGTGCTCCAAGACTGTTGGCATACACCGACCGAAGCCTTTGAATTTGTCATCATTAGTGACCCCCATTATCTTCAACTTGCAATTTGCCATAGCGAAATTCTCGAAACCAGTGTCGTATTGCGCATTCGTCGACACTTCCTTAGCTCCCTTTCCCATCTACATTCTGAATTGTTTGCCATTTTCACAACTGGAAACCCAGCCTTTAATTTTTTTAAACTTTACTTACATTCGAATTAAATTATACAGAGTGAAAGTGCATAGAAAGGGCTTTACAATAATCTTTAATAGTAGGGCACTGCAAGAATTATTGGTAGAACATATACAAGAGATAAATTTACAGATCCGACAATGATTTTCGAAAAACCTGATGCAATCGCTCACAAGTGATAGAGCTGGAGTAAAGATGGTACACTAGAAGTTCAACTTAAATAAAAGTTTGAGACAACGATAGCATATCTTGTACAGAAAGTCCACCAGTCCGCTATAAATAGTACAACTAACGCAGCAAGTTCAGTAGATTGGCATGGGAAAGTTTACAGGAGAATTTAAAGTGGATGATGATTAACCAACATAAGGCGAACATGAATGTCGTTAATAGCAATAAAATAAGCAGATAGTATATTGGTTATACAATGAAGCAGCTCATTTGTGTGATAAGTTATGCCACGTGAGTCTTTCTTATCGCAGCGAGTGATCTCGAACCAGAGTAATTAAATCGTGCAGAAGAACGGCCTTTTAAAACCAAAGAACGAATGTTCCGTGCAATCTGCCTTTAGTGAAGAAATATTCCAGATAGCTGAGTAACGCACCACAGTTCTGCAGTTATCGTCCGTGACTTCTTTTTTTTTCACCCTGATGCACAATTTCCAAAAGTCGGCGATGTCTCCCATAGTTTCACTCAAAGAATGTGGTCAAATTTCTCCACGCCTCAGCAAATCTACCGAAAAAGGCGGTAAATTTGTTGATGCGTGGGAAAAGCTGATCACATTCCAGAGTGAAACTGCGGAGAATGTCGCTATTTTTCTGGGAATTGTGTACCCAGATAAAATGAAGGTAACAAGCAAGGAAGAAACCTTCAGCATTATTCCTTCACTAGAGACTTCCGTTGTCCACAACTTCGTCATTCGTTCGAGATAACGTTCGCTTTTCTGCAGGCTGCCCTCTTGAATGGTTTAATTACCTCAGGACTTGTCACAAGAACGAGCGCCTTCAAGCCAATACCTATCACTAGAGGTTGATTATAGGCCGACCTTGTCCAGAGCATATTAATATACAGTTGATGAAACGCTTATGGAGTACTTTTCCACATCAACGAATATTAGAGGCAGCCTAAAAATTTGGCCCTCCAGCCAAAGGGCTTTGTTTTCATTTCATTCTCACTAGAAATATGTGTCTGAAATGAAGACGTGAATCTCCATGCTCCAAAGCAGTGACGTTCTTCAAGATTCTATTTCCATAACAGCTTGTAGCAAGTCAAAAAAGCGTGAGCGATCTTCTGATCGTATGAGTACGACTTAAAAGTAACACATCATGCTGTCATTCCCAAGGAGCTATAGTCAAATCAGTCACACGGGGGTATACCTACCGTTGGGATCAAAACAATCCCTCCGCACGTCTATACCAGCTTGCTCCGCCGCTCTTTCGAACGCTCTTCCCAAAAAACTGAAAAGTAGAGCTCCTTAGGCTCTTCCTTTGTTGATTGATTAATTCTTACATTTCAATAACGTACTAGGTATATAAATGTTCTAACATAGGATTGAATTACCTCATCATTAGCGCATCTTTGTAAATGGTATCCAATGGCATGACTCCGGTTACTATATGCCATCCTCGCATATCACCATGTAGGGCTAGACTCACAACAATTGGTTTGGTAGTTCGATCACGACTTCGTCGCACCGTTGCAAATGCCTTTTGTAGAAAGCTTGTGAATAGAAAAATAAAGTGTCGAGAATCCATGAAATCATCTGTAATGTGGTATTTACGGAGCATTTGGCATAGCAAGAAAACGAGCATGTATGGTGTACTCAAGGCTTTTCAAACCATGACCATTATCACGTCTTAGTAGAATACGATGTGTAGAGTAAACATTATCAGCGTTGAAACCACCTAGAGGGTGTGTTGACGAGTGAAGGAAGAATGGTCCAAGAGGTAGCACTTCTTGTTGGTTCACTGCAGATCCCACTAGAGTCCATACACACTCAAGACCAATCTGAAACCGTAAGTTTGAGGAAGTCTGCGGCGAGATCATTAGAAAATAGCTTGTATTGCAAACCATTTTTACCTTATACACATCAAAACATTTCACAAGTGGAGAGAAGTTTTGATGAGATTTCATGAAACAATTCAATATATCCCGCGCTGACTCGAATCGATCGACTAGAGGAGTCCGTCGAGGAGACTCTAACCTGAAATATTCTCAAGGAACTAAAAATCGCTAACATTCCGAACACTAAAGTACCTAAAAAACGGTACATGGAGACAATACTCAGGGAGGAAAATATTTTAACAACAAGACACCCACCTAACCGCCATTCCTCTGGCAACATCAGCTGCACTGACGCGATTTGAATACCCGAAATGTGCAATAAACGAAGCAAACGGCGGTGTCATTTCTTTCTCGAGCGTTTGCATCACTTCTTTCCGACGAGTGGACGTCATTGCTTCAAATTTTTGCCTCGTCTCATGTAACGTGAGTCTGAAGAAAACGAAGCGAACGAAAAATAAACTCTAACTAGAAAGTTATAGAGTGCACCCAAAAAATCTCACCCCAAATTGGCTAGAAGATGCTTCACATCTGAATCTCCTTTCTGGGTCCAATTACGAGTTTTACACGCAAAATGTTCATTAACAACCATTGCTCGATAAAGCGACCAGTGTGAATACATGGCTAATGGAAGTCTGAAACGGAATATGTTCAATGGAGAATACGTGTTACTACTGTGATAAAAAGGATAAAGGATAAAGCTCTCGGCGTTGATTAATTCCTGCGGGATGCGCCATGCATTCGACTTCCCTAAGTATCACTTGAGGTGATTGAATGCATATCTGGCCTTTACAATAACTCGTGGTGGCCTACCGATGTATTAACCCAGTTCTGCTATCCTCGGAGAGAAGGCTGGTACGAATTTGCTGATCCCGTACGGATTGAAGGTTTGGTGGGCATGGGGCGTGGGGATCGATCCCATGTGTATTGCAGGACGCCTCGACCACTGCGCTACACGCGCCCATTCTACTGCCATAATGTGCTAAAATAACGGATGAAGAAAGAATATAGATAGAACCACACTAACTCCTTTTCAAACGACACTCGCAGCAAGTCATCTGCCTTTGCATTAGTGTTTCGAGGTGAAAACCTATGAATGAATGGCCTCATACGATCAATACACACATCGTGGTAGGCTTCTGTTGTAACCTGTAAGAAGTGATTAACACGGAAACCAAAAACTATAAGATAAGATGGCATGGATGCGGGTAACTTACAACTTTGTCGGTCCACTGACTACTTAAACCTACAGCTGCAATCCACATCAATTCTGGAGTTGCCTTATTAAGTAAGGCTGCTAATTCGAGCATTCGCATGGCAGTCTAAAGAAAAAAATGCCGGATGAACAAAAAAATGAACCTTTTCTTTAGAAAAAAATTTAACACATACCGATATTGAGTACCACGCATTTTCGTAATATTTCCACAGCAAATTCTTCCTACGTGTTGACCAAAGCTTCTTCTTCTCCTTGAAATACTTTCATAGAAGCATGGAATATGGAATGCAGTTCAAAAACAACTCACCTTTTTCAACAACCTTTGCTGTACCTCTTCCATACCTCTCTTCGCAGATCCACTTTCTCGATTCTCATCGTCTGACTCTGACTCTCCAAAGTCCCCTTCTTCAATCACATCGGACATTTTGGGTATGCTAAAAGCCGTTTGAAGTCAATGATTTAGTCAGATAAAGTAAAAAAACACTTCTACTCACTTAAGTTTTGGGACCTCTGCACTGTCCACAAGAATCATTATTTGTTCGCCTTCGAAAATATTTTCATGGTGAAATGGCCTACGTGAGTCAATCACATAGACTTTACTTCTTGCTGGGATATGCATGTCTTGCAAAGAGCGGTTTCCGCCACAGTTGAGCAGCACAATGCTCGGACCTAAGGTTTACGACTGTCTTATATAGAAAAATATACATTCTTTGCGCAGTTCCACAACGCTTTGCAGAACAAAGACTTGCAAATCTGCCAAGAGAACGAAGACCAGTACTACCCAAAAGTTCTTTAAAGCTAATCCACCTTACTTTGCTCATAGTGTTCCCGTAGAGTCCTGCCCAGTGCATCCCAGCCGCTGACTGGAACCATTGAAAATGAGACGTCATCACATATAAATAACTGCTAAAAAAGAAAGAACTTCGAAACAGTTATTTCGTTTCGATATAAGTCGGATGTGGAAAGCTATAACGATTTGAAACTACAGAATGGTCCCCAACGGCCATAAATAGCGTGTCTTGATAACTCGTAGAACTTAGAAACCTGCAAAACCTTATTCTCTCAGTAACTATAAACGTCATTTACTAACCGCAGTACACCACTTGCGTGCCAACATGTATATTGGCGCCTTTGTAGGGCCCGAAAGAAGCAGGCGAGAGAATGAAAACAGGGGCACCGTAGTACTCAGGATGGCGGTACTGACGGCACACAGATGTATTGCACTATGGCTCATTCTGTTATTAACACTAGTGTCCGTCGTGATATACCTTGTAAGGCTTTTATATCCTAATGTCCTAATATATCCTAATGCTAAACGTTGACAGTAGACCGTAACCATCTAAACGTGCAAACTCAGAGCTTCTGGAACTCGCTGGTCAGCTTCCAGAGCTTACATCCATTCTTTTATCAGTAGAACATCCGGAACTTAAAGTTTTACTGTGAAAAAGCATGTAAGATCATTTGGAAGCGAGAATAACACTTATGAAATAGCAATTTCCTCGCAGTTTGCCGGTATAACTTCCATGAAATGCTTTCAGGATGGTGGTTTTGACAAACAGCCTTATCTGATGTTTGTCCTGTTCGCTATTTCGGACACGCTGTACATTTGTTCCATTATTTGGTCGATAATATCCGCTTCGACATTCACTCGTCCTCAGAACTATCGTCATGTATACAACTTCCTCTACTTACATTACGACAAGATTGTACAGTTGGGTAAGTCCTTTTCCGGGTATTTCTAACCCTTGTGAGTTTTTCGCACTTTTCTACCGTTTTGATTTCGATTTCAGCCAGCTTCCTGTTGAAAATCACCTTCGAATGTTTTCTTTTTGCGAAGATCGTACTTCTCAAAGATGTGTCTCTACTGATGCTGCTCTCCCCGTTGCATCTCATTCTCACTATTGTCTTAGTTGACCTTAGCAAACGGTTATACTATATACAGAAGTAAATCAAGTCGATTTCAATTGTTGTTCACTTAATCACAAAGGTATGTGGTTTGAAAATGTATAGAAGTTGTTGATAAGTACGGGTTGTGCTAAATGTTCAAGGTGTTTAATGTTGTTTATGTCTTTGCTTCGAAAGTAAACAACTTTCTATGAAGTTTCTGCAGGAACCAGTTTATCGAGGTGATGTCAGGTATAGCCAAACTTTCGAAAAAATATTATTGTAATATTAGGAAATGCTTAGAAAAAACACTGAAACACAACGAATACCACGAGCAGAACATTATTGGTCTAATGCATTAATCACCGAATGCTAAGATCTAATGCTTAAGACATTTTTCTGTACTTGGTTTCCTCGTTTTGATTTATCCTTGTCCATTAGGATATCCCAACGGTTTACAGCCTCATCGTGACTGGGAGGTGTTCCTGGGTGTCGGGCCGCGATATACAGCGGAGCGATTCATCTCCCCGGTAGGGTCTCCCAAGCTGAAAAGGAGTCCGGCGTTTCCATCAGGAAGTCCAACAATAAACCAATACGAGGATCCACCATCGCCCTTTTATCAAAGTCGCATGGTGGCAAATCTCCCTCTGGTCCACAAGGGCTGCGACTGCCTATGGCAGTGACGACCTTGGGCAGACTTTGGCTACGCTGACATCGGGACTCAAGGGAACCACAATGGCTTAACCAGCAAAACTCTGAACAAATGGGAATTATGGTGGGGCCCACACAACCAGTGAGGACGGGACATCCAAGTACCCACGTATTAGAATGTGACCAGATTTTTTCGGTTCAGTGAAGAAACGACCAAGAAAACGACAAAGTGTTGAACGAACTCACCGACAGGATAGTGTACGCGCAGACAGCGTCAACATCTTCACCGACTATCAGAAGAACATGCTATAAATTTTACATCAACACGGTAATAAACAATTCTGTATTTTTAAACTGTTGAGCTTACACGAGGTTGTAAGATCATGGATCGGCTGTGAATGTGAATCTCTCAATTTGTTCTGATCATGAATCACGAGGAACACGTATCATCCGCTCCAAAGAACACGGAGACGTCGAAACGTTAGCCGAATAATAGTTGTACAACAACTTCAAGTAAGCTCAACAACTTAAAAAGATGTTGACCACTCATACTGAGGGTTAAAGGAAAATCGGTTTTTGGAATACTATGAGCATGTTTATCTTGTGAAGTGAGGAATGTTTTTCACTAGGCAGTCGTAACCACTGATATTCGCTGAGTGGGATGCGTCAGCTGCAGTTCAAGTTCTCCGTTTAGAAATGAAAAGGCAATCATAATGTTATAAAGGTTGGAAGTTTTGAAAGAAATTCCAAAATAGCTCCCACATTACGGTACTAACAAGGTTTTTACTTGATCTCGTAATAACGAATGACATCGACCCACGCGGTGCACGTAGCGCATTGGTTGGAGGTGCTCTGCAATACACATGGGATTGATACCCGCGCCCCTGGCTCACCAAGCCCTCCATTCATCCGGAGTCGGCAAATAGGTACCAGACTTGTCTGAGAGAATAGCAGCACTGGCTCGATACATCGGTAGACCACCGTGATTCATTGTAAAGGCCAGATATGTATTCAACCACCTGATGCTTAATGAAGTCGAATGCACGGAGCATCTCTCAAGGATTGATCAACGCCGAGAGCTCTATCTTTTATTTATTATCGATCTATATAGCTTATGAAGGTCCGACAAATTTGTGAATTTATGCGGTTTTCTTGAAATTGGAGAATTGTACGATTATGAAACCGCCTCGATAAATTCTATACTCATAAAGCGTTCAGAATATGCCAAGGGTAAATACACTTTGCTACCTAGGCGGATCTTCCGAGTACTCGAGTAGTCGTAAATCTCCAGATTTTCAGTCCCTTAAATGAGTTACGAAGTTAGACGAGTTAATAAGTTATACATACTACGTATTGCCCAAGTAATCGATAATTACTGTACAAAAGACAATACAACATATATAGGCGTAAACAGATTTGTATAGCTTGATATAAACTTGTAATTTGCTTAATTTTGAACAGATAAGAGCATTTAATTCTCATTTGGCACTCACAGATTTTTTGACGACCTCATAGAACTGAGTTCGAAGATTGTCCTGGACAAGCATTACAACTTATTCTGTGAACAAGTAGAACACAGAGGCTTCGTATCGCTGGAACTGTCCAGTGTCCTGGAAAACTTCAACAGTTCGCTGTAGCTTTCTTGCTTTCGCACAAATTCTCCAGGTGGTAAGAGAGAGAAGAAGAGTCAAAGTAGTAGAATCTGGCCGAATATAATGATATCTTCGTAATATGAAGTACAAGAACATAGATCCCCTCCGTGATTGTTCTAGAGACGATAGGAATTTGTAGCAGGTTGCACGGCAAATTCAAATGCGAGTATTTCGCGCTTTACAATCAGCCATAGAGCGCTGATTGTGGGAGCTATTTGGGGCTACTGCATAGTTGTCTTAGTAGATGTCGGTTTCCTGTTAATTGATATTCACCCTTAGGTTAAATGTGCCGATTTATAGAAAAACCGATTGGCGAAGTGGGAGCTGTCAGGATTTATGGCTACTTTGCAATGTTTTGATTTTATTTACTGCCTATACTTCTTTTGTAGCAAGCCGCTATGTGGAATTCATCCACAAGGAAGTTGAGGAATGAGCAAAACTTGGAACCTCAGGTGGGCTTCGAACAGGCGATTACTCTTTCCGGAAGCTCACGGAAATTGTAATTGAGCATAGTTATCATGTTTCGAGCGCAGATTCAACGTAAAGGCTTTAATGCTCATTCGTGCTCCCTAGATCATTCTCGTTAACGGTGATTGCTGGTAGCACCGTTAGGGTAAAAAATCTGGCTCAGGAACAAGAAAAAGAAGGGCCTTCGTTGGTGTGGTGGATAGTGGATAGTACATGAGCCGACGGAGGAAGTAATCGCGGGTTCTAAGCCAAACTGAGACTCAGAGTTTTGCTTGTATTTCAGCATCCTTGTGGCTTTGCCTATTTTATTCTATTTATTACATAACCAAACATCGCATGCATCACAATGTGGGATTCTAGGATTCGATTCGTTTCTCCGAGTTTACCATCCTAAATGAGAGCCTTGGTGGACGGAGAGCGGGTTCGAACCACAACCTAGGTAGGTTGGACCATCTGAACATGAACAGCATCACTACCATCGCGCTACTCGCTCCCTTTATTTATAAGTATATGAAAGTCAAACAGATATATAATTATCATGTCACATATGAACTGATCTTCTTAAGCTGACTCGAGGTTGGTACAAATCTTCGTTGTCGGTGTCGTTGTTTTTGATGTTATTGATCGATGGCTGAGGTTTCGACGACCGCCTTCCCCAGAGCCTCAGAATAAAAAAGTGGATAAAGCTCTCGGCATTAATCAATCCTTGAGGGATGCGCCTTGCATTCGATTTCACCGAGTATCGTTGGAGGTGATCAAATGCATATCTGGCCTTTACAATGACTCGCTATGGCCTACCCATATATCGAACCAGTGCTGCTATCCTCCCAGACGAGTCTGGTACAAATTTGCCGACACCGAAGGGATGGAAGGCTTGGTGGGCTGTAGGTGCGGGCATTGATTCCACCAGTGTGTTGCAGGTGCCTCGGACCATTGCGCCACACACGCTCTTCTGTTCGATACTTATAGATATACAAGAATATACTGTACCAATAAAACTCCGGAAGGATGGGAAATGTGCTGAGGCCCTCATAACCAGTGAAGACGGGCCATCCAAATATCCAAATATATATCAGACTTTTCCTTAGATCGATAGAACTAAGTGTCCTCGGTAATTCTATGATGTTCACATTCTCTCAAGTCCTCTAGTCATCGAAAAATTATCGTCTATTGTTGCAGAACCGTCATGTCCGTAACGGCCGAAAATTAGGCGTCATC